CGCCTTGGTGCCTTGTCTCGACTACAGCCCCTCCAGCCTCCTTCAATTCTTTTATACGCTTTTCTTCGTCCCCTCTCACGGATCCCGTGAGCTTTGTGTCGTCTGTTCCTGATCTCCCCTCTACGGTCGCTGAAGAAAATCCATCAAAATGTCTACCCCTACCCCGTTCGACCACCTCAGCAACCGTATGAAGCTGGAATGGCATTCCAAGCTTCATACGGATATGGCTCCAGCCAAAAACTACCGCCGCACGTCCATCATCGGCACCATCGGTATGTTGTCGCATCGGTGTCACTCGGGTCCTGTCTTGTCTTTGCTGACCAGACATCGTTTCCAGGTCCCAAGACCAACTCGGTGGAGAAGATCAACATGCTCCGCCAAGGTACGAAATCTCAGACAGTCGTCTCGTCTCGCAAAGCTGACGCGATGCAACAGCCGGTCTGAATGTCGTCCGGATGAACTTTTCCCACGGTTCATACGAGGTTCGTGCCGCAGGCTCCTATCTCTGCCGAAAACGCCTTCGCTGACGTCTTTGCCCCAGTATCACCAATCCGTTATCGACAACGCTAGGGAAGCCGAGAGGGTCCAGCCTGGCCGTCCTCTGGCCATCGCTCTCGACACCGTAAGTTCTGCTGGGTTGTGGCTTGGGTCGTTGATCGGGTGTTGACTTGTGACCGTAGAAAGGTCCCGAGATCCGTACCGGTAACACGGTGGGCGACAAGGACATTCCCATCAAGGAGGGGCACGAGCTCAACATCACGACGGATGAGAAATATGCAAATGCCAGCGATGACAAGAACATGTCTGTAAATCCCCGAACAATCGGCCGTATCGAGCTTGTCTGACCCAAGATCTTGTTCTGTAGGTACGTCGACTACAAGAACATTACCAAGGTGATCGAGCCCGGCAAACTCATCTATGTCGATGACGGCATCCTGTCCTTTACCGTGCTCGAGATTGTCGATGAGAAGACCCTGCGCGTGCGTTGTCTCAACAATGGCAACATCTCCTCTCGAAAGGGTGTCAACCTGCCAGGCACCGATGTTGACCTCCCTGCTCTGTCCGAGAAGGATGTCAACGACCTGAAGTTTGGTGTCAAGAACAAGGTCGACATGATTTTTGCCTCGTTCATCCGTCGCGGCAGCGACATCCGTCACATTCGTGAGGTTCTGGGTGAGGAAGGCAAGGAAATCCAGATCATTGCCAAGATCGAGAACCAGCAGGGTGTCAACAACTTTGACGAGATTCTGGAGGAGACCGACGGTGTCATGGTCGCTCGTGGTGATCTCGGTATTGAGATCCTGCCCCCAAGGTCTTCCTCGCCCAGAAGGTGATGATCGCCAAGTGCAACATCAAGGGTAAGCCGGTGATCTGCGCCACGCAGATGCTGGAGTCCATGACGTATAACCCTCGCCCGACTCGTGCGGAGGTGTCCGATGTCGCCAACGCTGTCCTGGATGGTGCCGACTGTGTCATGCTGTCGGGAGAAACCGCCAAGGGTAATACCCCAAGGAAGCTGTCACCATGATGCACGAGACGTGTTTGCTGGCCGAGTTGGCTGTGCCTCACTTCAGCATCTTCGATGAGCTTCGCAGCCTGTGCCCTCGTCCTGCGGACACTGTTGAGGCGATCGCGATGGCTGCCGTCGGCGCCAGTCTGGAACTTAACGCTGGCGCTATCCTTGTCTTGACCACCAGGTAGGATCAATCTGTCTCTGTTAGTTGCGGCCCTGCTGACATTGTATCAGTGGCAACACTGCTCGTCTCCTTTCCAAGTATCGCCCTGCTTGCCCCATCATCATGGTCACCCGCAACCCGATTGCCTCACGAGTAAGTTGGTCCGGAGCATTTTTTGTCACAGCGCATGCTGACCTGTCGTTAGTATTCCCACCTCTACCGAGGAGTGTATCCCTTCCTGTTCCCTGAGGCGAAGCCCGACTTCAATGTCAAGATCTGGCAGGAGGACGTTGACCGTCGTCTGAAGTGGGGTATCCAACAAGGTATCAAGCTCGGCATCATCAACCGGGGCGAAAACGTTGTCTGTGTGCAGGGCTGGCGTGGAGGCATGGGCCACACCAACACCATTCGTGTTGTCCCTGCGGAGGACAACCTGGGTCTCGCCACGTCGTAAATGGATAAACCCAAGCATTCACTCCGAGCAGATGATCAAACTGATCAGATGCCTGTCGCGCAGGCGGCTCGACTAGCCCCAGCTGCTGGTTAGCATCACAACACCAGACTGGGTCTCAGTCGGTCGGTCGGCACGACTCATAGCCCTTGCGATGATGGAAACAGGTCCAGTGACGAGTCGACATCACACACATCACACACATATTCAGGATAATGATCCCAACTAAATGGCGCTTCAATATGACAGCCTTGTTTTTTCTTTTGGGTATCTTAAAGAGTTATGATTGTTCGTCCTGTATTCAGCATCAGCATTATAGATTAGCAAGTCGCTTTTTATTCTCCAATCTCTGAATTTAATTTAATTAGTAGATAAAAATAGTTCCTGCAGGTTAGTACGGAGTAAACAAGCTGTGCTCAATCAATCCTCGTAGATATTATTTCGTAGACGTTTTGTCTGTCTGCAACGTGAACGTGAATAAATGAATTGAATAGCGAGATAGAGAGAAAGAGCCGAGGTGAAGTACAGTCCCCACCCGCATGATGCGTCCGGGACCATCAATGGAAACAGAAAGGGGGAACTGCTCAGGCAACGAGGTCTTAACTAAGAAAAAAAAAAGAAAAGAGAAGGAAAAGAATAATAACCAGGACGAAATTCCAATTTATTGGAAATAATCAATCAATGCTTCTTGTGGTAGACAGGAAAGAGCCCACAGCGCACGTGCGGAAGGAACCTAGTTAAATAACGCTAAAGGGAAAGGGGTATCGGGGATGTTCGTTGAAATCTCGGGTCGGGTGGTGGTTAGGAGTTAGGACCTCGGGAGGTTCGGGTAAGAAAAAAACATCGATAAGTACTAAGGTCGCATGGTGATTATTATAATTGAAATTAAAAATATAAATAAATATACCAAAAAAATATAATAAATTAATTAATTAAATAACCGTCCTTTCTATTGTTCACTAGATAAACTCATTCATCATCGAATGAATACATTCCATTGATTTTGTACGGAGTATACTCCCTTTGGCCCGACCCGAACTAAATACTAGACAATTCCGAGCGAAAATATCCCGGGATCAGCCGATACTTATTACGGAGTCCTGCTATTATTATAGCAGATCTGGAGTTTGTTAATTATTAACCTACCGAAATTGATCACCGAGATATTTTTATTTTTTTATTATTAAGTAGAAGATCTGGATCTGGATCTGAGTCTGGTCTGGATTGGATTTCTGTACCTGGGTATGTGGTAATTCGGTCATTGCTATACTCTGTAGGACTATTGAATTTCATAGATGGGTATTAATTACTACGGATGTGGAGTTGTGGACTCTTTACTTTCTTTAAAAAAAACGAGATAATACTACTACTATACGACAGCTGAGACGAAAAACTGCAAGGCCATCGATTCTATGTCTATGCAACAACTGACTTGTTGATATATTCACTCGCCTAGCATATACTCGAAAAAGTAGAAAACAACAAATATGAGGGTCCATCCATATATGTCATATTGTCCAACCAAAACGCCAGACAATGCAAGTCGTTATTCATAGACAAGGAAATAAAGAATGTACACTAAGAAGGAACGTCATGGCCTAGAATACACCTTTCACATCTTCGTGTAGTATCATCATCATAGACAGGTTCGTGAGTTCATCATGGTCATAAGGTATCAAGTTCATGACGTAAATCATGCGCCTGTAGGTTCCGCATTGTTATTCTCGTTATTCTCCATGTCTGCCGGTGTCTGTACGTGATGTAGATGGTTCTCAATCCGGCGATGGTCCATGTATGTCGGTTGGAACTGATGCCAGCAGCTGCAATTACCCAGTTAGTTTCCAGACCAGAAATCCAACAGCTTGGTCAACTTACTTCGGTGCCTGGAGAACATATCTGGCCATCGCCTCCCTAAATCTACTCTTATATTCCTTCGGACTAGTCACCGTCGGCCGGTTCTTGCCGCCGCCGGCAAACCCACGATCTTTGATCCACGACTCCAGTTTCTTATCCCACGTGTACGTCCGGATGCAGTCAATGATGCCGACGACCAGCTCCCGGCGTGGCTCGTCAATGGCAATCATCAACGAGTAATCCATGACGTTCTGTCGGCCCAGGAACAGCGTGTCATTCCAAACGCTCTGGCTGAGCAGCTTCTTCGAGTGCTCTCGGGTGAACAACGGAGTCTCGTAGATAAAGTCAACCATGTTCTCATCCAACAACACCTCGTTGCGCTCTCCGGTGCTCTGCACCTTGCGATTCCTCATCGAGCCCTTGAGATCAAAAATACGCGTCGGTGAACGGTCATAGAAAAGGTTCTCCATCACGAGCAAGAACCAATTGTACTCGACACCAGTGGCTGGGTTTTTAATGATCACCTGGTAGAAACCAAACATCTTGGCAATGGCCGACGGTAGCTCGTGGAACAGCGCCTCGGACATGATCTGAAAGTATGCTGGGGCAAACTTGAGGAAGGCTTGCGTTTCAACAGCAGATAGAGATTTCAAGACGAAACGATCGTCAAGCGTCTTCAAGAATAACGACTTGGTCTTACCGCCCTTGGAATCCCATTTTGCGCAGCGAGAAAGCGACTCAACGATGCGGTCGGCTACCCCACATTTCCTTCGTAGAGCATCAAACTGCTCTGCATAGAATATCTTACAGAGCATCTTCGCCTGGCCTTCCTGGAACTGGTACTTGAGATGAGTCCCAGTGGCTCGGAGTAGCGCTTGCTCCACACGGGCTTCGTTCTGTGCCTCTGCATCACCATGCAAAGCAGCCTGTTGTTCGTCTAGCTCTTTGTAATGTTCTTGGATACTCGCTAGCTTGTTCTTGTAGTCTTGTGAGTCAAGAGCAAAGGCAATCAACGAGCTGGGTTCATCCTCGCGAACGATGATATCACAGTCAGCGAAAACATGGTCCGACACCTTCAGTGGATAATCGAGTGGTTGCCATCCACTTGCTGACCGCTCAGCCCAGAAGTTTGTCAGCATTTTCACTAACGTACTCCGTTCGTGCTTTGGCAGTTCTTTCAAGTCGATATCGTCTTCTTGTTCTGGGGAGAGTTTTACCAACTCCTCCGGGGAGTCTGCAAGAGGTGTATCATCGGCAAGGTTTCGATCCTCATCGCTTTGTGCCTCGTCGGCTTCGGAGGCAACCTCGTTGGTGGCAGGTGCGTTCTCTTCTGGCTCCGCCGGAGTCGCTGGCTCTGGTTCGGGAACAGGCTCTTTGCTGGCATTCGTATCGGTCCGCGAGAGCTCCTCGCTTTCCCGGGCGGGTTCCTCCAAGGAAGACGGAACCTTCGGAGAGAAGAAGTCCTCTCCTTCACCAGACGGCTCTCGCTCCTCGACTGCTTCCCTGACATTCTTGTACACTTCGACGATTGGCTTTGATGACGCCATGGGATATGCTCGTGAGTGTTTACTCTTCGCCGCTCGCTGCAGTCGTTCACGCTGCCGTTCCTTTTCAAACTCACGGCTCAGTTGCTCAAAGTGTCTGGCTAAGCTCGTGACCCGGGGATTCTTCTTCTTGTTTGGAACGGAGCGGGGAATGAATGAGTGGCCAGACGTTAACTTCCCAGATTTCAACGCACTCAATCCAAGACGCTCGGGCAACTTTTTCTCACCGAGCTTGGGCTTCGAGTCAGGAGGAGGGCTGGGCAGAGCGCCTGGGACCTTGCTGTTGGAGTGGCCGAAGCCGGACTTGAGGGCTGCCATAGGACCATTGTTGCTGCTGTTCTCCCTCGACAACTGAGCAGGCTGAGAGTACGCTCGGTGTAGTGGCGGGGACTTGGTCTTTCTACTGGCGAGTCTGGGGATCCCTGAAGGCGTTGGCGTGGCTTGTAGAGTTTGCGGGCCACTTTCAGCTCGGCCGCTAGTGTCCACTTTCTGAGTTTTGTCCGGGAGTGCTGATACCTCTGGGGATGGAGGATTGCTGAGCCTGGAATCAGAATCCAGGGATGGCGTTGCAGATCTTGAATCTGCTACAGCTTCAGTGGAAGGTTGCGCTGAGGTGTTAACCTCCGAAGAGCTGGGTGGAGCAGAGAGATCGAGCTGCTGACCATCTTCCTGTGGTGTCGCATTCGGTTGGGGAGAAGAGGCTTCGCCTTCCTGGTCTGTACCAGTTGTCTGCGCAGACAACTCATTCTCTGCAGTTCCCTCTGCCCCCTCAGTATTAATTTTGCCAGAATGTTCTTCCACAACTGACACAAGAACGTCCTGAGCCTTCTCGGGCGACAGTGTCATGCGACGGACTGGTCGGGGCTTTTCGGCAGTCTCGTTCGTTTCATCCGCGCCTGGCTCCGTTGGAGTGGTCGAGGGTTCCTCAGCCGTAGTGAGGGAAGTCACGGAGGCGTCTTTGTCCAGGAAGATCTTCTTGAGTTGCAAAGTGGCTAGCCGCCTGATGTCTTTCTCCGACGGGAAGAAATTCTTCTCGAATTCCGCAAAGGCAACGTCCCATTCAACTACCTTTTCTTGCACAGACCGCAGGACTTCATTCAGGGGGATGGTTTCCCAGTACCGTGAATTCATGTATTTTTCCTGCAGCTGTTTTATCAAGCTAGCATGGTCTTCGTTTGCCTTCTTCATGAGAGCCTCGGTTTCCTTTCTGCAATCTTCAACCTTCTCTGGCATAACACTTTCAACATTAATGCTCTTGAGGCGAGCCTTGACCGAGGCCATAAACTTGGAAATACGGTGCTCTGATTTCTTGTAGATTTCGTTTCTCAGTCTCAGATCATTGTCAACTTTCCAAGTGACTCGCGTTCTCGGAACAATGATCTCCAGCAAGGTAATGGGATCATAATGGATCCGCAGAGCCATGTCTTTGAAACCAAAGAAACGAAGATGATCCCGATGGATATCATGGGGACAAACACCGGCTCTGGCACGAATATCTCTGCTCCAGAAAGACAGCTCAAGATACTTTCCAAACGAATATCTCCAGGTGCTTTCAGACATCGGCATGACCTGGGTTTCATTGCCGCAGATCTTGCAGCAGCTCCACATCAGGATGGTATCTTGTAAGCCCCGAAGTTTGCAGGGGTAAGGTTGGACGAAGATACTGATTTGGGCCTCTCCATGGACGTATTGACGATGATGTTCAAACATTCGCTTTTCGCAGCCATTTACCCCACAGACGGCATTCGCCTCCAGACAAAGATCTTCTACATATTGCCCAAGGGTACAATCTGCCTCGAAAACTCGGTTGTCGCTCTCGTGCTCATTATAGAAGTCCAAGGCGAAGATGTCAGGACCCGAACAGGGAATAGACGTAGTGGTGCAAACCAAACTATAGAGGACGACAATATTCTGGTGTGCGAAAGGATCGAATAGATTCGAGTTTCCGGACAGATATGCTTCCCACTGCCGCTTTTGGGTCTGATAATTGTGCAAAGCTCTGTCGTATTCCGCATCGTGGACCGCGTGAAGGACCTCTTTCACCTTCGGGGGAGCGCCTTCAGGTGATTCATGGATCATTTCAGGTGTGATTAGCACGAATTTCTGAGATTTGTTTTTCTCATCTTGGGTCTGTTCTTGCTCCGAAGAACTATCCCGGTCACGCAGACGTTTTAGGTATGCAAGTCTGCGTTCCAGTTCCCGAGCACGCATGAGCAAGTAGGGAGGCTCGAATTTGACGCTGGGAGAAGCGGAGAGGATCTTCGTCTCATGCTTTTGAACCATGTCTTCATAGAATGTGGGCATTGGTACGTCATCAGGCACGTCTGTTTCATTGGCGATCGCCAGGTCTCCGGAAGCCCCGTCTCGAGTCTTATCAGCTGCATCTGACCTTGAAGTGGTATTTTGATCCGCGGACGAGTCGTTGGACGTGGTCGACTTTGAACCACCGGATTTATCCGCGCTCTGGACTCCCTTTTTAACGCTGTCATCGGATGTCGGTAATTGTGCAAATTCATCCCTGATCAAGCAGGTCTCGAGCTTCAGGTTATAGACAACATAAACCATGAATTCCGTGATCCGTTTGACCTTTGCCAGAACACTGTTATCAGCGCCGCGCAGAACAATGGTACATCCGAGTTGCTTGGGACAGCCCGAAATGTACATGTACGTCTTTTTGCGACCGTTATGTACGTAGGTTTTAACATCGAAACTTCCGCATTGACCAGTGGGGGCTGGAGTTGTGACAAGCTTATCCATAGACGTAATGATTCTTGCCTGTGTGCATCTCGAAACCGCCTCGAGCACAGAGGGTTTAACGTTGTAGGCGGTAGCAATGTTTGCTTTCTCGAGCAGCTCAAGTGCTAGACCGGAAACGTTCTTCTCAACGAGGAGGAGGTTAGGACGCCACGCCGCAATCCTGCTGACAAGATTCTCCAGGAATTCGCGCTGCTGCCGGATAACTGGTTCGAGGCTCATGAAGTGCTGTTGATGACGTGCGTATTCAAGTGCGAAAGTGATGATGAGGATATTTGGCTGCGCAATACTTCGAGGCATGCTCTTCAGCGCGAGATTTTTGGTAAAGACCAGCCCTGAAACATATGACGTATCGCCTGGTCGGCCACCGGGGATCTTCTTCAGCTTCACATAGTGACGAATGTCCATGTCATCACCGCGTTGAACATCCGGTTCCACCTCATCAGTGGCTTTGAGTAGGATGGGCAACAGCGCCGTTTCCCAACTTTTGGCATGAGGAACCGAGGAATCTTTCAAGAGTTGTCGAAGCAGCTTACGGACATGTTCCAAACTGGCCCTATTCAGTTCAATGGCGGGGGCGCCCGCTCCTCTCATGGATGAACTTCTTGTCATTTTAAAACCGCTCCCCGAGCTAACGCCTGTGGAATTGGCTGGGCTTGGGCTGGAATTCTCGTGGAAGACGTGTGCGCTATCCTTTAAGTCTCGGGGGGACGGTCGTTGGTGAATACTGCTAGCAACACTTAGATTTCGCCGTCGCGTGGCTCGGGGTAGATTAACAGCCCTTGAGCTACTGATGCTACCATCGTCCGCATCACGCGTGGCGGCTACTCCGTTGGCAGTGCTGCGGTCACCGAACCGAGATCGGCCCTTTTTGACAGCCGCAAGAAAACCGCCGAATGTAGCTTTCTCATTGTCACCTCCACCCTTTGGCAAGCTACCATCAGACACAACTGAGAGAAGGCTCGGTTGCTCATCGCCGCTAGAGGCATCATCCGAGAGATATTGCGCCAAATCCGGATCAATGATGTTATCTCTGTGAAAAGCGGGCAGCCGTGCCCCTTGGTTGATGTCTTCCAGATGACGCCGTTGAAATGGGGCCCGGTCCTCATGGTAGGACTTGAAACTGCGTATGTACTGTTGCCGCGAATGGTGGCGTTTGTGGCCCATTGAATGGCTCCTCAGACCGGCTGATGATCTGAGAGATCTGGACGAAGTTGGTCGAGCCAAAGGGTGGTCCGAATCTATTTCCAGGACGGCAGAGCGACGGTTACTGCCCTCAGTCGTGCGTCTGGTTGCAGGAATTGCCATAGTTGGCGTCTTCATAATATGCTCAATGGATTGAGACATTACAGAGGACGTATCATCATCATCTGCATGTTGACGGCCACTAATCCCACTCGACTGTAACTCTGGTAGTCGGGGATTCATGACAACAGGGCTCTGCTCATTGTCCGAGAAATCGGACGAGTCGTCGTCGCGGGAATTGATCATGTTTTCACACGGCTTGCACACGCGAATGGAACCACTTTGACCAAATTCAGCCCCTGGGATCAACACGGTACACTTTGAGTCGAAAATCTGGCCACAGGTGCGGCAGTGATGCTTCCGTCGAAACGTCGTGAATGGCTCCCCACACAAGAAGCAGTCTTTCGCATTCTCATCCCGCATCCAAAACTCCTTGCTAAGTAGCTTGTTCCTCAATTGCGAGAAATTATTTTGAGAGTCAGCACTTTTCATCGGCGGGGGGCGATTCCGATAAGGCTGGTTGTTGGAATTCTCGAGAACGGCGGACTGAGTCGTTGCGGTGTCGCTCGACGAGGTACGAGACATAACATAACCAGGTAAGCGACTGTGACTGACACGAGGCACTGGCTTGTCTCGTGGTTTGTCAACAGAAGGTCTCGAAGAATTCGTAATATTTGAATCTTTGTCTGTAAGAGACACAGAAGTCCCAAGAGTAGTGGGAGTGCGTGCATCTTGAACCGAACTTCCATCATTGGATACTTTTGTCAGGCTGTTGGTTGCAGAGGTTGGGGCTGTAGAATCATCTGCGGTAAATGAGCTTGAGGAAACCGTCGCTGTACTCCCTTCCGGAAGGGGTTGCGAGTCTTGGGTGGTGTTGTCGAGCTGTCTACCCTTCCGAGAACTGGAAGTGAACGATGTATCGAGCTCGGGCAAGTCGGGACGATCAGCAACACCAGATGCAGACTTTTTCAGCTTGTCGCAATCAGATATCTCATTCCCGACCCTTTGGATCTGAGCCGGGTCGAGAGGCCCCTGCCCATCCCTGTAAGGATTGTTGGGCGCTTTGCCCGTTAGGACCGGAGAATAAGACCTCTGACTGTTTGATCCTCCTGAACCTTCACTCAATGATGACCGCGACCCTTCAGTCCTGTCGACGTTTTGTTGATCCACACCCTGAAACGCGTGGGATGCGAAACCAGGGGGGTTGCTTTTGGAATTGACAAGACCATCTCTGACGGCATTGACGTTGATCTCGGTTACTGCAGGATCCGCCGTCTTGGTAAGAGCCGGAACAGGAGATTTTATAGCCGGGATCGAGGCTGCGGACGCCTTTGAAGACAAACTCGCCGGCCTTGAAGAGTATCTGGTCCCTCTGGGTGCTGCAACCGGATTGGAACCATCGGGGGCCGGTGACAAGGCCCCCGCTACCGGAGAATGGACCTTAGACCCATGAACGGAGTTTGGGTGCGATGGTTGAGAGTCCACGCCAGTGAAAGAGGTATTATCGGCGCTAGGACTTTTGGCTGCGGGTGACTCGCTGGCTGCCCCGTCGGATGGCTTTGCAGAACTTCCCACGATATCCTTCACACCCCCGACTGATGCCCGGAAGCGACTATATAACCCGCTGAGCCCTCCGTTTGCGTCGTTTGGTGGATTCTGAGGACTGTCGTTTTCCGCCGCGGATGACGAAGATGGAGGATGGGTAAATTCATTAAAAACGGTGAGAGACTCCGACTGATAGGCCGCCGAGTGGATCTGGTCCAATGCCTCGTTCAAGTTCTCCCGTTCAGCCTGGGATGACAGAGAAGTCCGAGAGCCGCGTCGTCCAAGAGGAAGGAATATGGACGACGCGGAGGGACTTATGTTTTCTGGCGAAGCCATGCTGAATGCTCACGGAGAGGCGGTGAGTCACGTCCTTGAAGGGCATCAAAAACGAGCAACATTGGCAGATCAG